TTGAAAAAAAAAAAAAAAAAAAAACTGAACTTAATTTTTTTATATATTTTAAAATTATGTATAATTACTATATATATATTTGTATACAGTTATTATATATATATATATACTTTTATTATTTAGTTAATAGGATTATGCAGATTTTTATAAACTGATATTTTTATTAAATATAATAATAGTATTTAACAAATAGAAAATAATAAATAATTTAAATGACAAGTAATAAATGACTTATTAAATAATAAATAATCTATATCATTTGAGATTAACATTATAATTCTGGTTTACATTAAAATCATGTAATAAAATGTTAAAATCAAATGACTAAAATGACTAAATGACAAGTGATTAGACAAATCCTTTAATGGTACTGATGATCAAATCATTTCTGAAAAAAACAGTCTACACTAATTTCAAATTTTTTTTTTTTTACAAGATGAAGCTTTTATTAATCTATCGAAAATACAAAGTATACAAGCAATTTAGAACAAACAACAATGTACCACCATTTAAAACAACTATTTTCATAATAAAACTAAAAAACAATCGTTTAAAATTATTTCTACGAAAAAAAGGTCGGTCTAATTTGACAAAGTAATATATTCGGCGTAACCCGCTGTCATACATCCAAATAACGATCATGAAATCTATACAAATTAGTATTTTTGAGTTCTAACTAATTTCTATATTTGTACAAATAGTCTGTCAAATGACTATCATTTATTTAAATATTCATTAATTTTAATTTGATCGACATTAAACTCACTTTTTTTCTAAATTGAAAATGTTAAACCATTTTTTTCCAAGCTTAAGTAAGAATTATATTGAGATTTTAGATGATGATGAATATTACGATATTACAATTGAAGTTGGTGATGACCCAAATAAAAAAATATTCCGTTCGCATATGATTATTTTGTGTTATCGTTCTCCATCTTTACGAACCTTGGCTTCAAATCAAAAGAATAGTGATGGTGCCTTAGCTCACGTTAAATTGCCAAATATTACTCCAGAGATATTTCAGATTATTTTAAAGTAAGTTAAATTTTATAAATTAATTTATTAATAAATTATAAATATATTCTAAAATTTATTATATAAAATATATATCAGATATATTTACGGCGGTATTATCACATTAAACGAGGAAGATATTCCAGAAATACTACGAGTGTTAGGTGCTGCTGATCAACTTCACCTCCAAGAACTGGTTGACTTTTTACAAAAATATTTAATTGAGAATAAATCTGAGTGGATGGAACAACAATTTGATCTTATTTATCAAACAAGTTTTCATTCTAATTCTTTATTAGAACTTCAGCAATTTTGTACGGATTGTATAACTAAATCTCCTGAAAAAATATTTAAATCACTTGATTTTACTTCACTTCCCGAAAAGTCTTTAATTTCACTTATTGAACGAGATGATTTACAAATGGATGAAGTTAAAATTTGGGAGCATGTGTTAAAATGGGGCCTCGCACAAAATCCAACACTCGATGTGGATCCTACAACTTGGTCAGCTGATGATCTCAAATCGATGGAAACTACTTTACAGAATTGTTTACCTCTAATTAGATTTTTTGGTTTATCATCTAAAGATTTTTTACGAAAAGTTCGACCTTATAGAAAACTTTTAAAACATCAACTTTATGAGGATTTATTAGCATATCATTTAGACCCTGAAAATGAAATACCAAATGATATTTCATTTCCTAGATCTGATGAACTTTGTTCAAAAATTATTAATATAAATGTTGTATCCTTAGTTTCATCATGGATTGATAATGCGGATATTAAGAGTAAATTTGCTCATGTAAAGGAATTATATCTACCGTATAAATTCAAATTGTTGTTAAGGGGAAGCAGAGATGGTTTGACTCCTAAAAAGTTTCACGAATTATGTGATAATATACCTCGCACCGTTACTTTCATTAAATTAAAAGAGACAGAAGAAGTTATTGGAGGATACAATCCTTTAATATGGAAAGGTTCATGTGGTAATATGGAATGGGGTAAAACCAAAGAAAGTTTTATATTTTCTTTTAAGAATAAAAATAATTTTAAAGATTCAATTTTAAGTCATGTGAGAAGTATTGATAGCGCTTTATTTTATCATATGTATTGCGGTCCTGCATTTAGTAATGATCTTTATATAGGCGTTGAAGAAGATGATGATTCAAAAGAATATAATTTTAATATTTGTCAACAAGAGAGTTATGAAAAAAAGATAAGAGATACGGAGGATGTATTATCAGTAGAAGATTACGAAGTGTTTCAAATCGTGAAAAAAGAAGACTAAGATTATGATAGATCTTAGCTATATTACATATTATATTTTTTTTTCTTATTTTATATTATTCATTTTTATTCTGATTTTAAAAGTATATAAATTTTTAAATAAAGTGATCAAGATATTTTGCCTACATTGAAACCCGTAACCGTAATACCATAACAGGTAATGTATTTTTAGCGGCATAATATAATAACAGATAAATGAGCAACTTTTTACATTAAGTAATGCAAATTAATTAGCTAAACTGTTAATAATACTAGGAGAATTTATGATAATAACCATTAAATATACTGATTTAACCTAAGAATTCAATTAGCACTATGTTATTTTGAGCAGTATTATATAGTATTAAAACAAATTAGTTAAAATTTAATAAAATGTATTTTAAAATCATGTGATTTAAATGACTTTAAATGACTCAAATAACTATTAAATAACAAATAATATAGTTATTTTCTAAATTAATTATTTTTTATATTTTTATATATTATGAGCTAATTCATTTTTTATTATAAAAAGGAAAAATGCGTTTATATTCTTAAATAAATATATATCTTACCTCCTTATGATGCTTAAAATATTTGTAAAAAAAAAAATTCTTAATATACAAACTTTTTTTAAAAATATACAATATATATATTTGCTTATTATGCAAGTTTACTTAAAATATTAAAAATAGTATTAAATAATTTTTTGACTTATTTAACAAAACTTTTTTCAGATTTTTTTTTATTAAATCATATAATATACTATACCAATACATATAAATTGTTAGTAAATTAGAATGTAAGCCAAAATCTAGTTCTTACTAGCATTATAATTACTAATAATAATTTCAAAACTTATATAATCAATTAATCATTAACTTAGTTAAATTTACAATTTTAGGTAAAATTAGCAATTTCTATTTATATATGGGATGTTTGAACTCAGGTCATGTGATTATTGCAATTTTGACTAATAGTATAAACTTCAAAATTAGTAGATAAATGGATTTTTGCCTGCTCTACAAGTATACCTAAGGCATTAAAGGTGCTTTTGAATATCAGTTTTGACTTTACTTATAAATAATTTATTTTGCCAATCGCTTTTAAAAAATTTGGAAAATGATCAGCAAAAACAGTTTTTCATATATAAGTCAAAAACGGCATTCAAACCCTCTATTGATACCTTAAGTAAACTTGCAGAGCAGTCAAAAATACATATATTATATAGAAAAAATAAAAGGGTGTGATATTGGTGTCATTATATTTCACATGACTTGTGTTCAAACACTCTGTGTAAATTTTGAAATTTTTAATTAAAAATTATATTAAATTATATTACAAATTATATATAATATTAATGTTAAAATTAATACGGTGGGTCTTGTAATCTATCAAACAAAGATATCAGAACTACACACTAAGATGATGTATTTCATACATCACCTATCTGATTAGTCACTATAATCACCTAACAGTGTACATATGGGGTTTCATAAAGAAATGATGAATGGTTTACAAATTAATAATATTAGTATAGTTATTTATTAGTTCTTTTACTTAAGTATTGTTATCCTGTCAACAATTAAAGCTGACTGAAAAACTTTAACGCTTTAACAGGTGAACTGGAGTTTAACTTAATAGAAGAGTCTTAAGTTAATCACAAATAATTACGTGGAATAATGTTAGATGTTCAGTTAAAGAAAATAGGTTTTTATTAAAATAATGTAAGATTTTAGATACGATGGAAAATATAGATAATCTCTTAGTTGCGAAATTAACTATCTTGAATTATACTACTGGGAATAATACTCTTTTCGTATAACTTGAAAACTACAATACAATTCTTAACTATCTGTGAAACTATCTAACTAACTACTCCTTCAACTTGGTAAAATCCTATCACTATTTATAATAAAATAAAAATGAAGAATATTTGATAAAATAAATAAAACAAATAAATAAAATAAATAAAATAAAACAAATATAATAGATAAATTAAATAAAATAAATAAAACAAATAAATAAAATAAATTAAATAAATTAAATAAAACTAATAAAATAAATAAATCAAATATATCAAATTTATCAGATTTATCAGATTTATCAAATAAATCAAAAAAATCAAAAAAATCAAGGGATCTACAAAATAATATACAAAATTTTCTACATAAAATTACTGCACCACATTTCTATTTTAACAGTATATTACTAACATTATTTTAATAAATTTGTAAATGTATTGCGGTTATTAAAAAAAAAAATTAAAATTGATATATATTGCCACTGGCATTACACTGCCAGTATCATATATAGTTATAAAATTATATGATATGATGTAATACTAATGTAATATTGATAATAAATTAAATTTTCATTAAACTTTTTAATTATTTTTTTTTTTTTTCTCTTTTTATTTAACATCATAATTACACTTATTTGTTTTTTTCTCTTCCTTTCAAATTTAACTTATAATATACAAATTACAAATAGCAAAATTATTTTAAATAATACCAAATAAGATGATATATATAAAATAAAACTTCAGATTGGTGATTTATTTGATAATTGAAATTCTGTTCATATTGCAATTGAAGCATATAAAAAATAGTAGGATTTTATTATTAATAAATGATATTGCAAGAATCTTGATTTTATTGACAAGTCTATTATTTGATATAAGAATATATCTATTAAAAATTTGAAATAAATTAAACTAAGAAAGTTAAAGATATTAATATTTATCATGATATTGCAAGTATTGCTATATCAAAGAATAATAATTTTTATTAATCAAGTAAGTTTATTGAGAAATATTAGGGTTAGTTAGGGTTAGTTAGATTAAGAAGACACTGGTGACTTTATAATATAATTATATTATAAAGTTACTGGTGTCTTAAATTAAGTTATGTAAGTAGGTAATAATATAAAATAAGTAGAATTAATGAAAAAAACTCTTTTCAGGAGAAAGAAAAATTATATTTTATATTTCTTTATTAATATTAACAACAATAGAATTTAATTTAATAGAAGTAAATAATAGGAATATTGGAGACTATTTAGCTAAAATGAATAGCTCTAATAAAATAGATAACTTTAATATATAAAAATTTATATAATGTTAGTATATTATATTCATGTTGAACATTAAAGTATAGAATAATAATAACAAAGTTAACTTAGAAAATATTAATAATTTTTACTAAACAAAACTAATTTAGACTAAAGAATAGTTTTTTCAAACCACTTAACAGTTTTAAAGAGCAATTTTATATTTATTGGTCAAATAAACAATATGACAAAATAGGAGATCAGAAGTAATGTTAATATATTCAAGAAAATGGAATAAATATTATCAAAAATATAAAATCCATTTATTATATTTATTCTTAGCATTCTTTTTATTTAAAATGTTTTGTTTTGTATGGTGTATACAGTCTTAAGCCACCACTTTTTATTATATCATCACGATGTTAGTCAAAATAATTTATTAATATTTATTATTAACACTTATTAAATATAAGGTATATTGGTAAAATGCATTTAAGTATTTACTTAAAATACTAATAAAATACTAAATGGTTAATAAATATTAAAATTTAGTACTTATTTAATATATTAAGCATCTGTCTCTTATACACATCTAGATGTGTATAAGAGACAGATATAAACTTAATATCAATAAAGCATATATAAATCATTAAAAAAAAAAAAATTTGTTATAATAGTTAGTCATGATATATGTATTTCACGTAATCTGTTTTTATACTAAATAAGGAATGATCGCTTTCAAAAATGACAATATATAACATGTCTTATCATTCTTATTGTTTCTCTCTAAGTTTGTTGTCAATTATAAATTAGAAATAATAATTAAATCGCATTACTTTTATCTAGTCTATAATATTATCATTACCTTTTTACTTTTATCTAGTCTACAATATTATCATTACCTTTACTTTCTTAAAATGATTCAATTTGAAAATAATTACGATCCAGATTGTTTGATATTTTGTTATCTGATATCGACATTAAAGACATTCATGAAATTATACCAAGGAGACTGAAGATCGATTACCTTTCAGACACACTGAAAGAATTTAATGGAGATATCTATGGAATAATATTTGGTCCGCAATTAAGGCTTTTTTATGTGACAACGGTGAGAAGAAATGATAAGATCAAGATCATGACTTTTCTCGTCGATACTGGGTTATCAACAACCTATATCAGCAAGGAGGTTTTAGATGCTTTTGGTATTACAATGGTTGATCTGGTTAATGATTATATAAATGTTAAAATTAATAGTAGAGCAACTCGAGTTATGATGTCTCGTGCTCATTTTAAGGATGTGAATGTTATCAGAATGTCATACTTTAATGTAAATGATATAAATGCATATATTCATAGCAGTAAAGAAATTTTTCATATGCACTTTTTTAATCAAGAGTATGATATTAATCAAATTAATCATGATTTAAGAAAAGAGAATGTAGAATTAAAAAGATACGAAAAGAAAGAATAGATCTATTACTTATCTCTACTCTGATTGCGTTATATTTCCTCCTATTGGAATTAGAAATAGTTGGATTGATCCTAAAATAATATACTTTGCTAACAATGCTAAATTTTCATAATGCATTGTGCAATCATTGTACAAGTCTTGTATAAGGTATTTTAAATCTGAAAATATATAGTATGATATTTCTAACAATACATTTTTAATATTAATTTATTCACAATCAATTGTAAAATATATAATTCTGATACATTTTCCAATGAATCTTAAAATCTTTTACAATGTTTTCACAAAATTTTACTTATATATATATTGTACAAAATATTGTATAATGAATTTTTACAATTAATTATTTATAACATAATCTATAATAAATTTTGCAATTAGTAGAATTGCCATTAATTTATCTATAACTAAAAAAATACTGTAACGTTTAGATTAGCCTGTATAAATTAATTTTGAATTGCTGATCCATATTCTTTATAGCTAAGACCCGCTTGATCAGCAAGTAATGTTGTATATCTAATAATCCAATTCCGGTTAATGAAATTTTAATCAGAATTTTTAAATTACCGATTTATTTTTTTTTTCAAATATTTATTTTTTTTATTTTTTTTTTAAATCTATTTTTAAAATTTTTTTCTTTTTTTTCGAACCGATTTAAATTCTTTCAGTTCCCTTTTTTTTAATTTTCTCTTTTTTCTTGAATCAATCTTTTACTTTCAGTTCTTTCCACTTTTCTTTTTTAAACTACCTTTTTTCCATTTTTTTTTCCTTTTTTTAAAAAATTTTCATTTTTTTTCCTCTTTCTTTTTCAGTTTAGTTTTTTTTTCCAACCAGAGAATTTTTTTGGTTTTTTTTTATTCTTTCCCTGTTTAGGTTTGGTTTTTTTTTCCAAACTGAAATTTTTTTTTTTTTATAAATAATCCTATTGTTTGGTCTTTTAAGACTGATTTTTTTTATATTATTATTTTTTTCGGTCTTTTTTTAGACTATATTATTAATTTATTTTAAAATTTTTTTTTCAATCTTTTTGGACCAGATTATTGTTCTTTTTTTTCAATTTTCTTTATTGTTATTTTTTTTTTCCTAAACTATATTCTTAAATCATTTAGATTTAGATTAGTGATCAGATTGATGCTATGGCATCACAGTAATTGCTTTTTTTCCCGATTCTTATTATTATTAGTAATATTTTCTCTAATTATTTTTTAGGTTCAATATAAATAAACTGAAATAATTTACTTATTTATTTTTTGTAAAAATAGATCAGTTTAGTAAATTCTATAGGAAAATGTTTTTTCATGACAATAGACTGTTATAATTGGAAATGATTTTTTTTATGACAATAAATTGTTATAATTGGGGAAATTTTTTTCATAGCAATAGATTGTTATAATTGATTTTTAAGGGATTGTGAAATATTTTTTTGGGAGGATTGCTAACTGACGTCTGGACGATCACTGCCTGGGTTTTTTTTCAAATATATCACATGATGTACAAATTTATTAGTCAGCTGATGCCTGATTTTTTAACTTGGCTATTTTGATCAATTAACTTAAATATTATTGTAAAGATATTTATAAAAAAAAAATTTTTTTGCATATTTATTCAAAATAATCTTATTTGATAAAATTTTATTTGCAAATATTAAAATTTAAGCCACACATTTATGATTTTAAAGAAAAAATCACTGTATTTAAACAATAACAATAAATAAAAAGATAAATAAATTACAATGACCAAGGAGAATTCGATATGAGTTTGATGAGTCATATTTGATTGCTAATAAAAAAATAAAATAACAATGGAGTAATGGAAAGTAATAGAAAATGAAAGAGAAAAAAAGAGTAATGAGAAGCAAAAAGGAGAAATAGGATATGATGAGAGATAAAAAGTAGTGATGGGAAATGAAAAGAAATGACGGGAGACGAAAAGGAGTGATGAGAGGTAAAAAGGAGTGATGGGAGACGAAGAGAAGTGATGGGAAGTAAAAAGGAGTGATGGGAGACAAAGAGGAGTAATTGGAAGTAAAAAGGAGTGATGGAAAATGAAGAGGAGTGATGGGAAGTAAAAAGGAGTGATGGGAGACGTAAAGAAGATGAAGAGGAGTGATAAGAGACGTGTATTATTAACTTATTATTACTCTCTTTATTACTCTTTTACTTGATAGACAAGTATCATTTCCGTCATAACGCGACGGGTTACATCTAGTATATACTATTAAAATTTAATATTGACAATAGTGTATAATCTATAATATGATGAACAATAATTTTTAATGTTAAATTTTGACGAAACCCCCCTATTTATATAAATGTATCACGTGTATGTGATATAATTCGCAGTTTGATCAACTAAATTTTTTTTAAACTTTTTTTTAAACTTGTGAAGATTTAATGACAAATCTCTTTCCCTCTGGAGGACCCATTGAAAATACATATTTAATGAGATCTTGAAAGATCATCCCTTAGTTATTTGAATATTCGACTTGTATGGTGATTTTTTTCTAAGATGCACAGTAGCCAAATTAGGTTTTATTTTTTTTAATAAAATTGGAGTTGCAACTGGCAAATTTTTAATATATGTATTAAAATAAAAATTAATACAAAACAAACAAAAACTATAAAAATATAAATACTATCAGTAGAAATATTATTATTGTGATCTTCCAAAGGTCTTTTAGAATTTGGATACTGGTAATTAATTTTATCAAAAAGCTTAGTTAAAGGTGGATGAATTGCATCAACTCTATTGATTTTAGCAATCTAATAATATAAAAAATAAAATATGTTAATTAAGTAATATTTAAATATTAATTATTTACTTACTATTGCTCTTGCCCAAATTATAATCATCTCATTATTTAATTTAAAATGACGTCCATCTTCTGCAATTAAACAATCTTGAAAATGATACTCACATTTAGGAAGATTTTTATATATTTCTAATTTTTTAGTGAACCAGAATCAGATTCTGATATCTAAATTTAAATTAAAAAATTTTATTAATCACGTATATTATGAAATATATAAATAATTAAATAAAGGATAAATCTAATTGTAACAGCCTGTTATGCGTCTTATTTGTAACAACCCCAATTTTATCCAATTAAAATTTAAGATCAGGCGTAATGTAAACAAAAACAAAAGATCAGTTGTGTGACCAAGACAAAAGAATTTTTTAAAAAATTTCAAGAAACTGCTTATAACTTGAAATTTTGTCTATGAAACTGTCTTAAGTACATTAAGTAAAAGTTTTTCAAAATAAATTTTGCATATAAAAATTTTATTTGTAAACTATATACTAAATTTATTATTAAAAAAAAATAAAAAAAGGATGTTAGGGCAGTGACATTTATTACGTAATATTTTAGGGGGTGGAAGGATATTTAAAGGTCATATAACATATAAGTGTAACGTAAGATTTTTCATATTACATGGGGATGGGAGAGTATGGGCTTATAGTAAATGGATATTACGTAATAAATGTGACTGCCCTTACAAATAAGATATGTAATAGGCTGTTACAAATACATTTATTCTTAAATAAATAATTATAGATACACAAAGTTTTTTTGATATATACAGGTTTCTCTATACCATTATCCTTAATCACAGAACTTCCATAAACTATTTCTTTTTCCTTATGTTTTCTTTCAGAATATACACATAAGTAGATAGATTAAGTAGACATCACTATATATATAGTGATGTCTACTTAATCTATCTACTTACACTATAGTGATGCCTACTTATAGATATTGATCCCTACTTACTTATTTTTACATGTCTATGCCCTTTCTAATGCTTTATTGCTATCCATCTGTTTTCACTGGTCTGTGACTGTTTGGTTGCTTTATAGATATTTGCTTGATTTTATTGTTCTGCTATCTTTTTACTGCCTTGTAACTATTTGCTTGTTTTCATTGCTCTGTAGCCTTTTTGTGGCCAAAATGCTTGGCCGGCCTTGATTGCTAAAAATCATGTTGTGATCGGGTGGCACAGTAAATTTGCTAATCAGATTTTGGCCGGCATTATGCTATATTTTTGACCTAATCTTTAGGGCGGAATATCTTGGCTTCCTGTGATTGGATTTGTGCGGTTTTAAGCTCGTTCTGATGAGGGCGTTGAGAGCTTTCCAATGATGCTAAGATCGCATGAATCGGATGCCTGGATGCCGAGATATTGCATCCTGAAATTTATGCAAAAAAAATATGGAATAGTGCTGGCTGAAATTAACGAAATTCTACTGCACCTACTGCGTTAATCATGTGATCCAGTTCCTCGCCAGTTCCAGGCACTTCCCCGTCACTTTCTCGCAACCTTCTTGCAACTTTCAAGGGATATTCAGGATTCGATCTGGTGTATCAGTTGGTCGGAGATTTGGAGATGCCCATTTGATTGCCGGATGAGGCACAAAGTGCCGAATTTGCAATCCATCTATTTGCCGAAGACATTTCACAATCCATTTCCTCACTTTTTGATTGCCAGGAATGAGGCACGAAGTGCCGAATTGGTGACCTAGATGTGCAATCTTGCCTTTCATAACCCTTTTGATTGCCAAAGATGAGGCACGAAGTGCCGAATTTGTGCCTATTCTTGCAATCCCGCCCTTTATATGCCCTTTCTGATTGCTGTGTGAGGCTCATGCGAAGTGTCGAATTGGTTCAGGCTATATCGCTTTCATATCTTTTTTCGTGTATTCTCCTGAACCTTTCTGCCTTTCCAGTCTCTTTCCTGCCTATCGGTGGTAGGCCACTCAAGTGAAATTTCTCTTTTCTTTCCTATATATAATTCTGCTTGAGTGGGTTACCATAAACTTGCTTGTTTTCGCCTTCTAGCTCTTGTTCCTGTATAGTTTCTACTCTGGGATACTTTGGAGTACTACTACATCGATTACTTTTAGGCATTATTATATTGATTACTTTGGGGTACTACTACTGACCCAGTATTTTGCCCGCGCTAGCAAGCATATTCGCTCAAAATTATATAGAATTTTTATTTTGAACTTTGCTAGTTTCTCTGTTATTTTATACTGCTTTCTTGCATATACACCATGCTTCTTGCGCAAAAAAATGCTGGGCCTAGCCCATTTATTTGTTCTGAACTGCTTGAATTAATTTTTAGTAATCTCAAGATTAAGGATATACTATATTCCTGTCTTATTGTGAATCATCAATGGAATTCTGAAGCATTTCGAGTTATTTTAAAGCAAAAAGAAAGGGAATTTCGTGAAGATCTTGATTTTATCAAATATTGGCTAGACTGTAGTGAACAAGAAATAACCCGTATTTATACAGTTCTCTATACTCCGCGTTATGATTGGATTACAGCAGGAGAAGAAATTGCAAATGTTCATGCAGTAATCAAATCCCATATAAATAATCTTACAAGTATTCTTCCCTGTCTTATTAAGTCTTCTGTCTTACGAAACAAATTTCATGTACAATGGCAAAATCTTTATAAACAAACGAAAAAATTGTTAAAAGATATCGATCTACTTGATAATATCAATAATACATAAAAAGAGCGAATATATAGACAAGATTGTTGAGCTGTATTGTCAAGTACTCTTAGCCGAAATTGCCACTTCCTGCTAAGAATACTGGCGATATTTATTTTTACTTATGCAATAGTAGTAGCCAAGTTTAATTTTACTTTCGAACTTGCACCTGGATTTGCATATATCCAGATCGATTCTTCTGGCCAAACTAGTCCAGAGCTAATGATCACTACCGCAAATTTCTGTATGAGATATTCTATTGTACCTATAAAATGCAAGATGATATTAACACTAAAGCTTTGGCATATGCCCAAAAGCGTGAAGGAAGATGCTTAGCTAAAGTTAGTTCTAATACATATTTATGGGCATGTAAAAAAGGCCATCAATGGGAGGCGCCATATAAAAATATGAAACAGAATTATAGATGGTGCAATATTTGTCCTAATATACCAGAAAGAACATGCCGGTATATATTTGAGGATTTATTACATAAAAAATTTCCACCCCGAAAGCCTAAATTCTTGGAGGGATTACATCTAGATGGATACAATGAAGAGTTAGGCTTGGCCTTTGAATATAGTGGCAATCAACATTACCAAATAGTCCCTTTTTTTCACACACAAGATAAGATGAATCTAGACGCAAAAATCTAGCATGATTGGGAAAAGAGAGCGTTATGTAATCGGGAAGGAGTAATCCTTATTACAATCCCTTACTGTGTAGTAGATTTAGAAACTTTTATAAGGGGCGCCTTGTATGCATTTGGTTATCTCCCAATACCCACCTAGGAGGTAACATGGGCTATTCCTTAATATGCATCAATTGATCTCTCACAAAAGGGCATTGAGGTACAGATTCATCTAAGTAATATAAAACAGGCATGGAAGGATTCTTTCCAACAACAATTCTCTGGATCTTATGTAGGCTAGGAGACCATATCGGATCTGTTATTCTGCGTCTTTAGAAAGGATCATTTTCCCATTCTCCAGGAGCAAGCAAGAATCAGACAGTAGTACTCTTTAGTAGTTGTGGTTCATCAATACCTATTGGGCGATTATATTTTACAGATGGTTTGGAATATATCCGCTCAAGCTTTGTGGCATCATTAGGACTCATTCCAATTAGCTGGGTTGGAGTATCATTCATATTATCAACAATTCTCCTTGCAAATCGTTCACATTCTCTACAGCGCTTACCAGTAGGAAGGAGAAACTCTATAGAATACTGATTTTTAAAAACTCTTAATTCGAATAATCCAGCATAACGGTCGACCATAGCCAAGCTTGTATGCCTGAAACGTGCTATAATTCTTCGGATCTCAAAGCCATGTTCATCCATTAATAAAGTTACGTATCCCATAAACTCAGTACCCTTATCACATTGCAATTTTAGAGGCCAGTTGAGAGGCTTATCGGGATTATAATATATACTCTTAAATGCTTCCGCAACTTCCTCACTGCTCTTTGATGTTAAAAAAATGAAATCTTTATATCTAGTCACGCAGTCTATAACCAATAGTACATAGTAATATATTGGACCATCATCTAGTAAATTTGTATCCACATCTTCATCATATGGTATTTCGATTAAATCACATTGGTGCACAGTATTTGGCTTCGTAATTTTAGAGTAACTGGCATAAGGTATATGCTTTGGTGAAGGACGAAAAATTTGATACATTGCTTGGCCCTCAAGCCATTTTTTTATATCAATAAATGGAAAGCTGTAGCAGGCTTTTTTAAAAGCATCCCACAATCCCTTAACATTTTGATACAGACCTTCAGAACGATAATATAGTTTTTGCAAAGCAAGATGCCGGTCTAAATTATGAGCTTTTTGGGGATCGATATTAATAGTAGGTGTTTGTTTTGCTATAATTTGGTCTAACTCTCGCGCTTTTTGGGGATCGATATAAATAAACGGTCTTTCAGCTTGACGCTCTCCCATTCCAATTTTTATAATTACGAAAAAAAGCTAGCATCTATAAAGTCAAATTCTATTTATTAGCTAAGGAGCTTTTTTCCTTACGCTTTTGCCTAGCTTCTATCTCCTTCTGCAGATTTAGTGGAGTGTCAAACCTTAGGCGGATTGCAAAGGGATCATCTTCTGGCCTAGTGAGATCAAATACGACAAACTCACCTTTTCGAAGGTAACTATTAATAACCATAGATGCATTTTTTACATCATCAGTATAGCGCCTAATGATCTTAGAAATATCTTCATGTGAGCTACCGGAGTTAAATACTACTAGATGTGTTGTGTTTTCACGGGTGAATGTATCGAGTTTATGATATTTTTGCGTTACATATACACATGAAATATTTCGATGACGCCCATTCCCAAAAAATTGGCCAATTCGATTTTGTATATGCTCTGGAGCTAAGCATACATCCTCAAAAATAATTAATGTACTTCTCTTAAGTGAGAATGCTCTTGTACTAGGAATTTTTTCGGGTGGTATATAGCTGAAACTAATATTCTCATAGTAAGGTGCTCTTGGGTCTTTCGAAATCATATTATATATATATCTAACATATGCCCATTTTGGTTCGTCTGGATGATAACCGCATATAATCAGGTCATCACAGCGGATATATCTAGACCCGCCTTTCTTCCCCTTTTGCATATATTCATCCTTATCACCAAGAACAAGGTTCGCAAGTAAATTAGTTTTACCTGTACCACTTTTCCCAGTAACAACCATAGCGAATGTCCATGTCATTGCTGGATGACCTACATTTCGGGATGATTCATGCTCTGTAACTTCATCCATATTCAAAAGACGGAGTTTCATAGGAGGTATTTCTGTCTTTGAACGCTTCTGTATAGTGGATTGGAATTTCGTATTTTTGTTTTCTATCAAAGGGTATTATATATTTCGGAAAAATTTTCTTTTCATTAAGGGATGGAATAAAAGAATATAGATGGGAGAAGATAGACCACAGGAAGTATATGATTAGTAATAGTATTATAAGAAAGATCGCAAGCTGAAAAAAGAAAGAACCAAATTTCTCATTACTAATCAAAGCTTTGCCAGACCTTGACGTAGTAATGGGTGATATTGTGGGATGGTTACTATCGAGTTTCTCTTTTGATTTTTGTTCAGTGTGATCTATTGGGGACTCCACCTCATTTTTTACTTTTCTTTCATCAGGTTCAAGTTCTGAGCAGTGTGAAGAAAAAGAGAGGGTCTTACCCTGAGCGTCATCGGAAAAGAAACTGGATACCTCTTTTTATTCATCGCCACCTGTTTTTGAATCATTAGATGACAGATGTGATTTTAAAGGGATCTGTTCTAATTCATCTCTTTCGGCTTGGTGCTCTAGATCACTTACCCTAGACCTGAGGCAGAAAATTAACCCATCCTTAAATGATGAATTTTGCGTAACTTTCTCCAGTTCATTTTCTAATTCCTTTGCTTTAATCTCAAGAGAGGGATTGCTACACAACTGGTTAGTATCAGAATCCTTTAATAAAACTTTCTGCGTAGCTTGTTCCAACTCAGCCTCCAGTTCATTTATTTTAGTTCCAAGAGAGATGATATCAGAATCCTTCAAAGATGAATCTTTTTGCATTGAAGATATTATACTTTCCAGTGATTTGACCATAGACTTTAGCGATTCTATTTCTTTTAACTGCTTGGCATTAAGATCGGCATGAGACTTTTGTTCGCAAGTAATTTGGGAAACAAGCTTATTATTCAAACCATTTAGTTGATTAGCTAGAGGGATCATTTGATTCATAGATTTTTGCATATGCTCATTTTCTTCATAGGAGCGGTCTAGATCATTTTGTATACTCTCATTTTCTTCATGAGAGGCGTCCAAGGCGCTTTGCATACACTTATTTTTTTTATCTAAGGCATGATATTTAGCTATAAGCTGTTTAGCAGATCTTATAAACTTTTCGCGATCTTTTTTTAGCTGTTCTTCAAGTTCTAATCGACTCGGTGGATATCGATTGGATGGAGGGCTTCCAAGTTTACTGCTATTACTATTACCTACATCGTTTAAAGTGTAGATTCGAGGCATAGTTTTTTATCCCACAAATATAGACAAAAAAAATAAAAACATTTTTTCGAAATAATATGCTCTTCTTCTATTTCCAAAATGATACATTTATCCTAATTATCCCAATAAATCTTTTCGAATTAATATATTTATCCTATTTATTCTATTAAATTATTTTCAAAATATCATAAAAACTACGCTTATCTTATTTATCACAAAGAATACATTTTTTCTAGTCATCCTATTTAATATTTTTTGAAATATTTTATCTGAAAAAATACATCATCATGATTATGGTTAGACAGCGTATAAATTGTAATGCGCCTTTATTTTCAACAGCTGATTACGATTTTATTATGCAACGTGAAAATGAAAGGCCGAGAAAGAAAGTTTTAGATGAATTGATGGATAAATATAAGACATCAATGAAGCGCATATATCAGATTTGGAGAGGCGAAGAAGCTAATAGAATTGCCTGGAATCAACCAATAGCTGATATTTCTAATACTACATATGCAGGTGGGTGTTTACCTGTAGTAAACTACGACCTACCTCCTGCTATTTCCTCTCCACCTGCCTTACCACTGAAGAAAAATAGCCGAAAAAAGAAAACAGGTAAAATAAGTGTAGCATCTACTGAGACAGAGACAGAGGTGCTTTCACAGTGCAATGCTAATACCACTGATAATACTGATAATATATCTAAAATGGGATCTGAACTTGAAGAGGTATTAAAACAAATGAATAATATTAAATAATTTACTTCTTTTCAGCAAGTATTTTTATAGCACTTATTGCCTTACCAAGCCACTCTTCAGCTTTTGCAAGACGTTCTTCAAGCTTTACGCACTTTTTTTTAAGTCCTCTTCACTATTTGGGCTAGAGGAGTTGGTAGATGTTTGGTCCTGATCTTTTTTTGGCGGATCTTTGACTACTGGAGCCTTGCTAAAGGTTGGGATAATATATACCTTTCCATGTAACTTTATGCGAAACTGGTTTTTATTTGGCTCAAGGACACCTTGAACCTTTCGAATGTTTGACATACCAAAAAATAGCATTGGTTCTGTTTCACCATTATCAATACGAACAAAATTTCCAATAACTGTAACCGTCTTATTTTCTTTATCCTTCAAAGTAACTGGCACGTCTGTGTACCATCCTAATGAATCGGTGATATGCTTGGAATTGCCCTTTATAGCAAAATTAGATGGTTTATCAGCCTTCCATCCAAGCGCCTTGATTGCTGGGTCATTTATACCACCAAACTTACTGGCGCTATCTAAAAAAGATTCAGAAATAGTTAAGTCATTTATAATAGCATTCAGATATTGTAAAGATGATAACCACTCATCTGATTCTTTCGATTCCTCCTCCTGAGCCTTTCGAGATAAGCACATTTTTCGTATTGGTGGTGAGAGCTTAGACAATAGCTGATCATATGTTTCAGGTTGGCTAGATTCTAGAGGTAAGATTGCATTAGTATCACTGGCCAACTTATGCGAAGCGCCTCTCAGCTCATTTACCTGTTTTTTTTTACCGGTGGATCATACCCAGTCCACATATTATTTTCTTCATCATAGCCATCCCCATCATTTTTCTCACCATCTGAATCAGGAGGAACTATTGGTTTAAGAGGTGTAAAATATGACCGAGTGAAATTAGATTGAGCTATCGGTCTTTTTGGACAACTTCCTTTGCTATGGCCCGTTTCCCCACAAATTCCACATTTTCGTATGTAAGCTTGTTTCTGAAATAGATCAGCTAACTGATTTACATTATTCCGAGTTTCCTCAAGCCCTTCCTCCATTCTATCAATTCTAGCAGAGTTATTGTTTCGCTGTTGACGAGGTCTTTGAAAAGGTTTTACAGGATAATCTGCATCTAGTTCAGCCTTATTAAGTACACCTATTTCTTTTAAGTATTCTGATACATAATAATTCTTAAGACCTTCTTCAGTCTGTAATGAAGATGGTGGACCTTTCGGCTGTCTAACCGGTTCAACAGTTTGTGAAGCAGGTACTTGTGTTTGCTGAGTCATTTGTGATTGTAATTCTGTAACTTTCTTTACTAATGCCTGGTTTTCAGTTTTTTGTTGTGCCAATGCATTTTGAATTGCTTTTTGCATATCTTCTAAAGAAATTCCTTGCT